GTATCCTTCCCCTGCCATGCCCACCAAGCCATGGCCACAGAACCAGTAGTAAAAAAAATTGAATCCCACCACTGGGTTGGACTAGAAAGCTTCCACTTGAATATGAGCCAGCTGTGTGCAGCAGCTGCCAAAAAAAGCCAATGCAGTCCTAGGCTGAATTAACAGAGGGACAGAATCAAGATCACTACTGGCCTCCGGCTCCCTCTCCCTTGTCTCCTCCCCACTGGTCCAAGGCTCAGGCATCATCTAGTGGCCAACCAGCCTCTCTGTGCCCTGCTCAGAGTCAGAACCCTGTCCAGGGTCCTCCACCTCCTCCAGAGCCAACTCAGAGGGCCCCTCGCTGTCGGAGTCTGGTGGCAGCTCCAACGGCACCTGCTGGGCCACAACAAAACCTTTCATAGAGCTCTTATTTTTCTTAGTTCTAATGCAAGTCAGCAGACTGGGCCTCTTTTTGTTGATCTCTAGGCTGTTTTAATCTAAATGTTTTAAAGTAAGAATTGGTTTTACTATCTAAGCCAAGAAATACTACTGAATTTATAAGCTTGCACCTTATTAGTCCAGTGACCAAATAGCATAAACTTGTAACTACATGAATCGGCATACAATGGCATCCATGCTTGGATAAGTTCCAGATGACAAGCCCCTGAGTATTGAAAAGGAAAACAGTTTGAGGCCATCTTTTAAAGATAGGTCAAGACCTCTAGGCAAGTGGAACTAAATTTGGGGAGTACCATGTATATATCCACTCCAAATATTTTTATATGACAGGGCTCCATGGAGAACTTCGGGTCCTTAGCATGAAATTTTGAAATGAGGCATAACTGAGGACCCTAACAAGAAATTATCTTGAAAGTCCTGCTAATTATTCTAACCAGCCCTTTTCCAATCTTGACAATCTTATACCAAGAGTACCAGGACAAGAGGAGTATCCTTGCCTCTCTGCACCCTAGAATGCCTCCTTCCCCAATGGGCTGCCCATGACATGTGTTATAATGTATAACACATCTCTCTATCTCTAGCTAGCTACCTAATACATGATCAGGATGATATATCCATTCAGTTGTGTCAAACTCTTGGAAATTGTATGGGCCATGTCTCTCCATGTCCTTTGGTCTTGCATTATTTCTTTGAGTTGTTCTATGCTCTGGCTAGTGTCAGCTTTGATGATGATATAATATATAAACCTGTTTAACAAATAACATACAATCTCTCCAAGCAAGTATGATCAAAGGCCATCAAAGCAACATGTTCGGTGGACAACAGATAAAGCTGGTCTTCAGAATAGAAAACATTTAGAAATATAATGAGAGCGGCATAGGAAGTAATAGTAATAGCAAATAGTAGCAAACAGTAACATACCCACACGGTTTATTCATTAAGAGGGATAAAAGCTCTTTACTAAAGTTTTGATCCAGCATAGATCATTTGCTGCTTTTAAGAGCATCTATTCTGAATGGAATGATTACTCGTCACTATAATATATCAGTGAAGATCACAAATACATAAGGAACAAAACGCATAACAAACTTCAGTGCTTCCCCTCATGCATGATCCATTAAATATCTTCCTCATTGTTTAATCATTCAGTATTTAAGGTTGCATACTAAAGAAAACATTAATGGCCCATTAGATGTATACCCTCAAGTGCCCTCTTGCCTGGCTAACTGAAATGAAGTTTAGATTTCAGGAGTTTTACCAACAATAATCTTGGAACACTCTTCTATGATTTTCATGTATACTTTAGCACTGCATTTTCTCTACATTCAAAATGTCGAAAGCTTATTACTATTTCAGGTCTATGTGAATAACGTTAGAACTTTGATCTAAGAAGACAAAGCAACTTTATCCCTTAACAGATTTGCTAACTGAGCAATTCAATATGGGCAGTGTAATGTACCCCTTGAAACTGAACATGTGCAATGTAACCCCTTGAAAATTCAACTTGAAAATCATGCAAATTCTATGTAAATGTGGAGGTCTTTTATTTGTATAATTTTGGGCTAGATTTAGTACTTTTTTAAAAAAACACAATTTTTTATGTCAAGAAAACTGTTTGATCAGGTGGTTAAAAGTGGCTGATGGAAAAAATTTATCTTCAGACTTGCAAGATGGATATCAGCCTTCCTGGATAAACCAGATTAAAAAAAAAAACATGACTAAGTGAGCTATATCTGCTTTTATTGTAAGGCTACATTAACAGAATCTTGGGAGCTTCCTTCCAGCACTTTTAATCCCCTGATCAATTAGGCTAAGTCTTTCCTAAATTTCTTCCTTTGACCACTAATCTATTGGAGGCTCCTCCCTCTCTCATCTGGGCAGCATTTCTTCCCTTCGTCCCCCAAGGTTATCCACACATTTCATTGCAACGCCTTCCAAGGGAAGATATAGCTCAAGCGCCATTATTTCATCAAACCTTTTAATGAGCCATATTAACATTTAATGTCTAAACCGCTCCTAACCTTTTAACCAACTGATAATCCTTACACATTTTTAATACTATTATATATCAACTTAATTTAAAATTTGCAATTTTTGCCATCTGGCCAGTTATCCTGAGAAAACTCTCTTTGCAATGACAAATATACAAGTAATTCGCATAGTGACAAGGGGCATGATAAGAAGCATGACATGAATGTTCCACGAAGAGGTTTAATATAAGTTGGCCATGTGAATTTTTTTTTCTATCCTGAGCTTTTATCAAAAAGAACTGCATAGTTGGGTATACATAACATTTCAGACATCCAATGAACTGCAATTGGACATATACAAGCACCATTTTCACCATAAAAATATATATATTATGCTTCTCAAGCGACATGTAACATTTCTATCATTTGTGTTTTACAATTCTGAATGCCATAGTACATCTTCCAGAATCTATTGCTAACAAAGAACTAGGGACATTCAAATTGAGAATGTTCTTGTTGCAAGCAAGCAAGCAATTCGGAGACTCTCTGGATGCCAAGTAAACATTTCCCCAGGAAAGGGAAAACAAGTGAAAAACCATCTGCTTGTTTCTTGTTTCTCCTGTGAAGTGGGCTTCCTGCCAAGCAGTCATTAGAGTAATTAAGGGGGAAAACAATCTAATATATTCATTATGTAAATGAATGACGAAGATTAAAAGGCAATGAGAGAGGAACTAAATATAAATACCTCTGTTTCTTGCAGCATCCCATGGCCTAAGCAGACCATATCTGGACAAGTGATGGGAGAACCACACCCTTCACGGATGGCAAATTGCATGTATTGTTTTAGACACTATAACAAAAAGAAGAAATATATAAGTCATAAATCATACATAAATTATAATATGCAAGTATTATATTCCAATGGATGGAAACTAATCAAGGAGAGAAGCAACCTAGAACTAAGGAGAAATGTCCTAATGGTGAAAACAATCAACCTATAGAATGGCTTGCCTTCAATACTTGTGGATGGCCCATCACTGCAGGCTTTCAAGAATAGACTGAAATCATGTAGACTCTCCTGCTCATGCAGGGAGTTGGACCAGATGACTTCCAAGGTCCCTTCCAACTCTTTTTATGTCCTATGTTCTAAGATATAAACATACAATGGCATGAGGCACCTCCACTAGCAATAGCAATAGCAGTTTCACTTATATACCTCTTCATAGGGCTTTCAGCCTCTCTAAGCGGTTTACAGAGTCAGCATATTGCCCCCAACAATCCGGGTCCTCATTTTACCCACCTC